AAATAAATTGCTATAACTAAGCTCCACAACAAGATACAAGACTCTTATTTGGTATACAGGATCACAATAGGGAGGGGCATCTTCAGTTAAATTTTTTTTAAAGTGGGCGTGGTCCCGCCTCTAATAGGTTTAATGTGCATACCTCCTAAACCGCTAATGCAATAATAATAAAATTCACTGGAAGCAAATGTTTTTAGAACCTCTACCTACAGTGTGTAAATGGGTGAAATCGGGTGGCAACTCCGCCCACTCCCCATATAACGGTACTGTTGAAAACTACTAAAAGCGCGATAAATCAAGCACTAAACACGCCAGAGACATTAAATTTTATCTCTGAAATGGTATGAGATGACTTTATAGGAACCGCGTTCAAAATTAGACAGTGGGCGTGGCACAGCCCACTTTTAGGTGAAAACCCATATCTTGAGATCTGCTTAACCGATTTCAACCAAATTCGGTGCATTCATATTTCTATGTCATAGTGCGAAAATGGGCGAAATCGGACTACAACCACGCCCACTTCCCATATAACACCATTTTAAATTCCATCTGATTCTTTATGCCACCTTGTGGCCAAAAATTGTCTAAATCGAACCAAAACTGTTCAAGCCCCTAAGTACTAAATATGTGGACCCCAGTGTCTATAGTTGACCTTCTACCGAAAATATCAGTCAATCCACAAAGAAATCTCAAACGAGTATACTATTTGACTTTGCGAGAGTATAAAATGCTCGGTTACATCCGAACTTAGCTCTTCCTTACTTGTTTAATATATACTTTTTCAAGTTCGGTTACAGCCGAACTAAGCCCTTCCTTACTTGTATAATAGTATTTTTGCTTTAATTTTGATTTTGACCGATCAGTTTGAAAATTAGCTTTATGCTACAGTGGTACGATCTGAACAATTTCGTGAAGAGATATTGTCAAATAAAAAAGTTTTCAATACAAAAACTGAACTCTGACTGTTCAGTTTGTATGGCTATATTATATATTAGTTCCAACAAATCAACAGCTTCTTGGGTAGAAAGGGATGTGTGCAAAATTTTAGAACGATATCTCAAAAACTGTGGGACTAGTCCAAATATATACAGACAGACAGCCGGACAGATGGCCATGTCTAAATGAACTCTGTTCGTCATGCTGATTATTTATATGTATACATATGTATTTTATGGGGTCGGGTCCCCGATGTTTCTTTCTGGGTGTTACCAACTTCGCGGCAAACCCTTTTCAGGATATAATTAAAATACAGGATAGGCTTGGGTCCTCTTTAAATATTCTCAAAACAAAATTGTAATAATATCGTTCTTCAAAAGGTCCTTATGTAACGTGATGAAACATCCTGCTGGACTTGAATACCGAGACTTTCAAGGATCTGTCTTAAATTTTAAGTTTGTTTATAATATACATATGTATGTATCTGTAGTACTCATTAATAAAACTGCGTTGCCAGCTGGATTTTCAGGGAAAAAATGTATCAAGGCTTCGCAGTTTTCTTTAAACTAGCAATCTCCGCGGAGGTTTTGGGTTTCATTATCCTCATATATGACTTTCCGCCAAAACAGACGGTTTCAAGAACGATAAAAATAGGGATTAATTGAAAAAAAATACTATTGATTTGGTGACAATTACTAATTACTGAAGTTGGACAATTTATTTCAACTATGGCCTGTGTATCGCAATTTTGTTCTTTTATTATCGGACGGTTTTTCGAGCTAAGTTATTTGAAAACAAATTAAACAATAATTAATCCAATCAAAAACATATTGTTTCGTTCCGAGAACATACGATACCGATTTCTTATCAGTGCTAAGCTCCATTATAAATTTGGCTTCTTGGTTATTAAAATCAAAGTTACAAAATCATAATACTAAATAAGATTCGGTCTAGAATCTAGCTCTCGAATCGATGGCTACAGCCGAATTTTCATACGATTGAATCGAAAGTGAAAGTATGATATAAATACCTGTATGTACATATGTACGTGAGTACTAACAGCGATGTGCAATGGAATAGAGGCAGTACTATTTTATGCATTAACAAGTAAGGAAGCGCTAAGTTCGGGTGTAACTGAACATTTTATACTCTTGGAACTTGCTAAATCCCTTCCGGTAATATACCTTCAGGTGTTGGCAAAACTTTATATTGAGAAATGTAGCGAAAAGGTTCAATCATCGTCATTGTTCGACGAAATGGTAAATGGATTACAATTCAACTATTTTGAAGGTCATAGACTAGCTCAGTTTTATTACTATATTTTACTTCTCGTCAAGGAAAATTATACTAAAATCATTGGGGGCATAGAAATGGAAGGGCTGATTGCATTAATTTTTGACATTGCTCAGGTATACTGAGAACTTATTTTTAAAGTCGGCTGGACGTTTCAAAATCGTGAATATCAGGTTTGTTGGGTGTTAAGGCAAGTTTTCGCCTGATTTTATGCATTTTAAGCATAAAGATACACTGTTATTAGAAAAAACGCTTCCTCAATGTTATTAAAATAAGTAGCACATTGGCCGATATATGTATGTGGTATAAAGTCAACTGGAAGTTCGAAAATCTCTATATTAGGTATCTATACCATATATGGGGCTAAGGGAAGTATTTCATTTTTGATACAAGGGTATATTATTATCAAAAAAAAAAATTCCCCGAATTTCAATTATATATCTTACATATTAACTGATATTTTCGGTAAGAGTCAGCCATAGGTTCTGGAGTCCACATTTCCGATTTCTGGAGGCTTGAATAGTTATGGTCTGATTTTGACGATTTTTAGACCTGAGATGGCAGATCTAAAGGAAATATTTCTGCAAATTTGTATCCCGAAATATTAATTAGTGCTTGATTTGTAAATAGGAAATTCAAAAATCAGATGGAATTTAAAGTTGTGTTATATGGGAATTAGGGGTGGTTGCTGTCCGTTTTCGCACTGTAAAATGGGAATATCAAAATTATCTAATCTAGCAAATTTGGGTGAAGTTGGTGCAGTAAGCTCGAAGATATGTGATTTAACCTAAATGAGAGCAGTGCCACGCCTGATTTTAAATTTTACACCTGCTTTAATAAAAACCTTTTGTGTCATCTCGGATATAAAATTTAATGTCTCTGACGCATTTCGTTATTGATTTATCGCATTTAAGAAGTTTTTAACAATAGCGTTATATAGGGAGTAGGCGTGGTTATCATCCGATTTCATCTATTTTCATGCTGTCGCAAGAGCTGCTAAAACGATATGCCCTCTGTAAATTTGGATAATATAGCTTGAATAGTTTGGAAGATATACATTAAGCCTATTAGGGGCGGGATCACGCCCACTTTAAAAAAAATTTCAACCACAAGTGCCTCTCATAATTGCGATTCGTTGTACTAATTAAAGGCTTTGAATCTTATTTTTCGGCTTGGTTATAGCAATTTATTTGGTTTCGATTAATTTCGTTTTGTGGGCGTGGCAGTGGTCCGATTACGCCCATCTAGGAACTCGTCCTCACTTTTTTGCCATGGAACTCGTGTACCAAGTTTCATTAAGATATCTTATTTTTACACAATTTATCGTTTGCACAGACGGACAGCCAGACAGTCACTCGGATTTCAACTTGTCTCTTCATCCTGATCATCTATATGGTATGTATGTACTTATATAAATTTATATCTATCTCGATTAGTTTTATGTAGGGAGGTTAGTACAAACAATCGTTAAGTGGTCGAAACTATTATACCCTGTTGCAAGCGTATAAAAATATACATACATTCGCTGAGTGTTCAATGTAAAAGAGAAAATTCCAAATTCATTGGCACGTTGTGTGTCTGCTGTAATTTAAAAAAAAGGCCTGTTCTAGTTATTAGATTTTAGTTCTCTCGCTAATACATATTTTATAAATGAAGATAATAGGAAACATATCATGATTATTATTAAACAAATCAAAATTAGCTCTAATTATAATGCAATAAATAACTGTTACCATACATACGTATGTACGTACATCGATTCGCTTTTCATATCACAACTCCGCAATTTCGGACAGTTGGCGCTGCTGCAAACAAAAGCGAAAAATGCAGTCGTCGTTACAAGCACTGCGCTGCAATTCACATCTTTATGCACATACATTTATGTTTACTAGCTAATGCATATTTATTTATATCCGCACTTACATACATACATATGTATGGATATGTACATATGCTTACCTTAGTACATAGCCTATCACTATCTGAATGCAGCGAGTGCCATAGCAAAAGTTCTGATTGGAATCATGGCTCCATGCCGCTGGAATAGTTCTGGATATGTATGATAGTGCGTATGTGCTCATATCATTTTGTGTGTGTGTGTTTCCTTGCATTTGTGCAATTCCAGAGAATGTTAGAATACGTAAAAATCGTACGCAAAAGAACGTAGGTACATTTTTATTCTCTGCAAATCCATTCGCTTCGTAGCAGCGCAGCTTGCAGCGAACCGGCAAGTTAAAAAAGTGTTGTTTTTGTTGTACAATTTTTGCCGGCTTTGTTTTCTGCAATATTTTGTAAACGAAAAAAGCAACACAATAGCGCTATCTCGTTTTCACCACAATCAAAATTGTGTGACGAACATGATGGAAGCCAACTGAACTTGTTGGATGTTAGCGCTCGACGCTTAGCAGTGTTGTAACAGAAAACATTAGCAGCGATTGCGCAGATTGACTTTTGCAGAGCATTGTTGTTGCTATCCCATTCACAATTGCATTGCATTTTGGTTTTGTCAACGCTGCAGCTTATGTTTATCTGTGCTTTCGGCATATTTTAGAATTCACCGTATACAATCAACGTGTTTGATCACGTTCTGTCGTTATTAACTTTTACTGTTACGTCGAGTTTTGTTTTGGCAGGGACTGTTAATATTGTTCGCTGTTGAACGTGTTGACCGAACTTGTTGCTGGGCAGCGAACATCGAACTTGGTCGTTTTTTATTTTGAAATTTTTCTGTTCGAACGGAGCTCACGCCGACAAAGTTGCCAACAAATGAAAATAGTTTAAATTTCGCTTTCTGCTGAACAAGTTGTGTTACGATTTAGAGCGGAGTGTGTTGTTCATAGTGTGTCAGCAGTGAAGTAGCTGAAAAAATTTAGTAAAAACTACAAGTGTTAGAAAAATAAACAGTAAGCATAGTGAACGGAAAATTCGCAAGTTCTGCCAATTATAGCAGAACTAAAGAAACGTTTTGTGTAGTTGAAGAATTGAATTGACGCATACGTATAACTAATTTTTGCCGAAATGTATTTGCTTGCTTAACTCGAATTTCGAATAATTCGGTTCTGTATTGACATTTTTAAACTTTATAATTAAAAAGAACTAAAGTAGAATATGATTAAAATTTTTTGATCATTTCTTTTAATAGCCGCGAAACCACAATCGACAACCATTATAGTGATTCCAAGCGCGAGCAACGAAAGCGAATAAGAGGTAGTGTCAAAAGATGCAAATTAGTTTTTTGTTTGCCGAATTTACAATCGACTCGTCAATTCTTATTGGAATAATGCTTTCAAGTAGCAGGCGTTCGTGAAAAAAAAATTATGCGAAGATAAAAGGCTTAAATAATTGAAACAAAACTCAGGAATCCACTTGGATATAAATAAAACTATTAACGGAATAATTATGAACTAATAAAAATATATACAAACATATGTATATATGCAGATTAAAAATCCTTTCGAAGTTTAATAATAAATAACTATGCGATATTTTATGATCGAAAATAATTAAAACCACAAAATTAATTTCTAATATAAAAAAAACAATGTTTTGATATTTATATATGGTAAATCCGAGTAAAAGGATTCATAATATTTAACTTTTGATACAAAAAAAAGCAGATTTTATAAACAACAGTGTGCAGTATGTGCATTGAAAGAGGGAAAGGCTTTTTCCTTTTGTGAAATAATTGAAAATTTCGGTCTAAATAAAAATATACAAACAAAATTACCAAAAGCCAATTTTATTTGCACATTTCAAATATAAACGGTAATTTTATAAATAGTGATTGAAATAAACGCTCACAATAAAATTTTAAAACAATAATACCTAACCATACAAAAGCATTTATACATTAATGTGTTTATAATAATAAAAAAAATGATTTAATAGAAAAACAAAAAAAAAATTTAGCATACACTAGAAATAAAAAAGAAAAACAAAATAGAGGTGACCAAAATAATTTTTAAAATGAAAGAAAATCATGCCCCCCTTTAAGAAATTTCAAATTAAATTCCAACTGTGAAAATAAACAAACAGTAATAGGAGTAAATTTTGAAAAAAATAAACTGTAAACATTGAGCATCGACAACCTATCCAAATACTAAATGCTACTTATGGCGCCACGTCGTGATAGCAATAGCGCCAACAGCAGCTCAAGCATTTTAGTACAACATCAATTGCCACAATCTCAACAGCAGCAACAACCACAACAAAGTCAGCAACATATTCAAGCATTTTTGTACTCCACATCCTTATACAACGGGGCCAATTTACTTGAGTCCAATAACGGTTCTACCTTGATCACTAACAATAGCAACAGCGATAATATTAACACAAACAACAATTTGAGTAATAGTAGCAACGGCAACAACATCAACAATTTGAATAATAGTAGCAACTGCAACAACATCAACATGTCACCCATGCAAACGGGTAATCTGACGCATGCAACGCTGAATGGTACTACAAGTACTGGTGGCCCGACCTCCGGCATTCAGAATGGTCACCACCCACACCATATCGTCAGCAATATAAGCAATAATAATAATATCAGTAATAATGTGAATGTCAATGTTAACGGTAATATTCATGATCAATACACACGCTGTTGTTATCCAAACGGGGAATGTTTAAAATTGGACGGATCCTGTCTTATTGGCTTGGACGATCTAAGTGATACTGTGCGTGTGCTCTGCAATAATGAGAACTGTAATATGGGACAGTATATGCATCGCGAATGCTTTGAGGCGTGGGAGCAAGCTGTGTTGGTGACCCTCAAGACTATGGGACGAGCACGTTCGTGGTCCGATCGTCAACGCACACAAAACTTGTGGACAAAGAAAGGTTATGATTTGGTGTATAAAGCATGTGTATGTAAATGTGGACAGGGCCATATACGCAAAGACCTCGAGTGGACACCACCGGTGCAAAAATCAAGTGCAACACTAAATGGTGGTCAGTTTGGTAATGTAAATGGTAATACTACGGCTATTAATGGTGGAGTTGGTCAACCGCGTGTGCTGTTGGTCAATGGTGGCAATGTCAATAATATTGGCGGTGGCAACGCCACTGAGGACGATGATAAAAAAAAGAAGAAGAAACGGAATCGTAACAACGGATCAAAATCAACAATGGCAACGGTAAATTCGAATGGGCTTATTTCAAATGGCCAACAACAGCAGGTGCAATTGTCACCAGCAACGACACAAGCGCAACATTCATTGCAACAACAACAACAAGCAACGCAGGTTGCAAATCAGCAGCCACAGCAACAACAATCGGCAAATTCTATGCTTAACGGTCAACAGAATAGTAACGGAAATATTAGTAATGGAATCAGTGCCATATGCACCCCCAATAATGTGAACAAAACCAATGGTAGCTTAAATACCGCTAATAACGCCATCAATACAATCAATAATAATCAAATCAATGCTTTGAACAATTCGAGTGTTGGCGTTATTGGCTCAGGTTTGCATAACAATACCAACAGTGGCAATCTACAGCAACAACAATCGCAGCAGCAACAACAAGCTGTCGCCTCATTGAATAATATTCTAGGGCTAGATTTGCGTGCTCGCGCTGACAGTTTGTCATCGAGTGGTGGTGGCAGTGGCTCCACATCGCCCTCAGCCTCCCACTCAAGCGCCGATATTTCCATTTCGCCCATACACCAGAATCAACAACACCAACAGCAACAGCAGCAGCCGCAGCAGCAATTGCAACAACATCAACAAAATAATTTGCAATTGCAACAATACCAGCAAAGTTTGTTGCAACAAAATAACCTCACAAAAAGTATTTTGAATGGTGCATTAAACGGCTGCGTCGACACAATCCAACGCAGCACTACTGCGCTGTTGGCTGCCACACAGCCGCAACAGCCTGCGGCCACACCAATTGTAGGTGGCATTGGCGCCGTAAATGGATTAAATGGTTTAAAACAATTGAGTGTTTTCGATCCGCATTTGGTGCAACAGCAAAAGAACAAGGAGGTCGAACTTTATTCGGAGCGTGTGCGGTAAGTTAAAAAATACATAAATTCCTAAAGTAAAATTTGTCTATCGAAAAATTTGCGTGGCACGTTAATAATTAAATGGAGATACATGTGTTATACCTTTGTGATGCAATAACAATTTGTTATAAATTTAAACAAGTCATATCAAATTTTATGTCGGAAATAGAATAAATTAGCATACTTGTTTCTCGACTTCTGCACACTTTTCTGGGAGTATCGCAAACAACTTTTTTTTCGTGTGGTTGACTAATTTTAATTGCTATTAACAGCTGAAAAATATATAAACAAATATATAAACACCGATTGTTATGCGATAATAACACAATATTTTGCATATTATTTATACATTTTTTTAATTCCCGTGATAAAGCAAAAACTATTTTTTAATTCCGTTTATAACGAAAAAAATTATACTGTTGCTAAGTATAACTTAAAGAATTTCTTGTTGTTGTTGTTCGAATAAAGTTTTTTTTTATTAAAAATAAATTATGTGTGAACTTATGACGTAGCTAAAAGCAATCTTGTGAAAATTGTAATCATGTAAGTTGTAAAAAAAATTTTCACTTTGTTTATTGTTTTCAATTAAAAGCTCCCAGCTAAAAATTTCCTCGTCAATCTTTTCATTGTCATCGCTTTAGCTTATATATTTTTTTTATCGCTACAGCACATTCTAGTTGTGAGTGATCGTTTGTGCTGTCGAATTTTGCTTCAGCTGTGCGAGATCTTCTATAGATCCACCCTCACCAATCATCTTATGCCATAAATATTTTTATTTAAAAAACAGCAATTTTATTTGCTTACAACTATTGTTGCTTTACTTTTGTTAATTCTTTCACAGTTGTGTTTCATTTCCTTTAAAAAACTTTGAGCCCAAAAAAATTTTTAAATTATATTAAACAAAAAAAAAAAACAAAAACAACCAATAACAGCCACTTTACTGCTCAGTGAATTAATTCAAATATATTTTTGTTGGTTTCTGTTTTAATTCTAGTTTCGACGCGTCCGGTTTTTTGTATTATCGTTTTCCTTTTTTATTTTTTGGTTTTCTTTTCTTGGAATCATAAGTAGTTTAGTGGTTCTTTTACAATTTTTACGATAAAAACAGAACTGGAAAAAAACTGCAAACCAGAAACAAACCTACATTTGCAAAACAAAAACTACAACAAATAAAAGTTTATTTTTATACTGTAATTTTTTATTATCTTCTATTCTTCACTTTTAAAGTTTTGTGTGTTATTTTTCATTATATTCGCCTATGAATTAGTTTGTGCCTCTATTTTCAAGGCCATATATTATTGTTGTGCTTACAATTTCGTGTTTTCTTTCTTTTTTTTGCTATTTTCGTACAATTTTGCGGGTGTTATTTGTCAGCAAAATGTATGAAGTTATGTGGAAGAGCTAGCTATGGTATATACAAACATATATATTTATATACATGTATATTTTCTCAAAGAAGGAATTTTAAATAAAAAACGTAATACTACATGAATAGGCTGCGATTTAGAATAGCAAATCCCGAATTCGGGGTTAAATGCGTATGTACGAATAGAGGAGTTTCGAAAGATTAAGAAAATATATACATTTAGGAAAATAAAATTAATTGAACCGAAGTTAAATATTGAAGTAAAGTTATTTTTGCACTACTTAATATAAAATAAATGTGTAGAAACGATTTCGTGAAGTGTTTGTGGATATAAAAGTTAAAAATTAAAAAAAAGAATCAAAATATAAATCTTATACTTTTTAAAATTACTTGTAATTATAAATAGGTATTAATGATAAAAATCAATAATTTCTTGTTCGATAATCGTTTTAACACAATTTTAAAAAGTAAGCATCTGTTCTAACACCTAAATAATAATTCCAGTGTGCTTTCTTAATTACCTACTCGTATGTACTTTAAATTAGAATAATTAGTTTTTTGTATGAAAAAATTATTAACAACCGAAAATTTTATACTCTTGCAACTTGCAAGAATCAAAGCCCGGAAAATTCCTTCAGGTCCTGGCAAACTTTATATTATATTAAAAAATGTTGCGAAAGCATTAAACATTTATTATTTCGATGAAATCGTGATTAAATTAACAATCAAATGCTATATTCTTGACTTCAAATAATGACCATAAACTTAGACTCAGTTTTACTGTTATATTTAAGTTCGCGTCAGCTAAAATTATATTAAAAATACCTTTAAATGAGATATTTGTATGTGATATTAATATTAACTCGATCTAAAAGGCTAAATTTAATTCATATTGAGTTGATGTGGAAAACGTCAACCAGTGGATCGGAATTCATTGTATTACGGATATGTGGTTTAGACCAAGGCCAGCCCCAACCACACAATATGTAAAGAAACTTGCCCATTTAATTTCATTAAAATATCACATTTTAACCAACCTGAATGGTTAAAAATCAGGTGGAAAGACGGAAGTCATTATATGTGGTATACTGGGGACATTGAACGACAAACTTGCCATTAAACTTGTTAGAAAAGCGAAAATCATTATATGCAGTATATGGGAGTTGGGGATAGTATTGACCTGTCTTTATCTATTTTTGCCAATATCACATACTATTAACATGCCGCATACTAATAAAATGCTCACAGGGTTTTCTTAAAGGTACCTCACATACTACACTAATCATATGGCCGATACAATACCGTCTTACGGTACCAAGAAACAAGTGTAACAAATTTCATTAAGATATCTTAATTTTTACTCAAGTTACAGCTTCCACAGACGGACGGACGGACAGACAGTCACCCGATTTAAACTCGCCTAGTCACCCAGATTATTTATCGAGTAGTTTTATTATAATACTCTGTAGCAACATGTTGTAAGAGTAGAAAAATTGCACAAAAACATCGACTTCCTACTTAAACCCCGACACTATTTCATTACTCACTACCCATTACTTGTAGTTGTGTTTATCAATTAAACGCTGATCTATGTATGTATTAAAAAAAAAAAACTATTAAAATTCTATTAATACTCCACCCACCGCCGCTGATATGTCGTCAGCCATTTATTCGCCAAATTGCCTGGCGTTAAGTTCTGTTCTATCACGTTCTCTATTTACACGTTTATACACATATGTGTATGTGCAACAACAAAGAGTGTTCATTGTGTGGTTATTGTGCCCACATTCGCTTTCGTGAAAAAGAATAATTTTAAATAAATTGTGTATGCTAATTGCTTGATTTTGCTTTGGGAAGCTTTAGAGCGCTACAAAAAAAAAATAATAAAAATAAAATAATTAGAAAATAAAATTCGTTTACCATAATAAACAATTTTTGAATTCAAAGCGCGAGGTTCTTGTGCTGCAGTATTTTTCTTATTTTTCTTATTTTTTTTTTACTTATTTGTGTTGGTTTTTTTTCTCAAAATTTTTTTTTTAATACCATCCCCTAAACTCTTTTCAACGCAGTTTGTTATTTTCTCACACTTTCAACTTTATTAATTTTTTTTTATCATTATTTTATTTTTGTTAATAAAAAATGTAAAGTTTCATTTATTTTTCGCTTTTACTTTCATTTTTATCTCTATTCTTCTCATTCGCAACAAATCGCTCTCGGAGTTTGTCGACGCACCTAACGTCACATCTCGCTGTATTTCTCGCGAGAACCGCTCGCCATGCTGAGTCTAGCTATAATTTTATTTTTTATGCTTTTCGAATTTTGTTATAATTAATATGTGTTTCTTTCATATTTGGTTTTCTTGTATGCTGTTATACACGTGTTTTCGACTTTTATACAAAAACACAAAAAATATATATGAATAAATTGTGTCGGAATTTATCATTGCGCTCAATTCCTTTCCGCTGCGTTGTTGATAAACAATTTTTTCTTAGACGCAAGTCGAAATGTTAAATGAAGGGCGGGTAGTGGCACACATATTTATACAAGTATGTATGTTATGTGTGTGTATATTTATATTAAGAAATGCTGTTTCTTCCGGTTTTATCACCATTCTTGCATATTGGATTTTTCAAGTTTTCTCGTTCTTCCACTTTCACTGTCCACAAATAAAGTTTTGCATTTTTATATTATATTAGCAGTGTCATTTTACTCGAGCTTATGGTCAAGGCCATTGCTGGCGTTTGCAGTTACTCAAATTCAGCGTTCAATTATGCTTGCTAATTATTTAATTATTTCATTTACTTTTGGTTTTCTACAAATTTATTCAAAAATTTTCTCTCTGGATAATAACAAAGTGCTTTAATATATACATATATATGTGTATATACAATATATGTATGTATGTATAAATATATATTTCTTATTTTTTGAAAAAGGCAGCGCTGCTTAAAATGTTGGTAGCGCCAAAAAATATCGCAGCAAGCGGAAGGCTTTTAAATTTACGATTTTTTTTCGAAAAAGTAACTGTCAAAACATATCTGTTGTAGTGAGCAGCGCTTGAGAACAGCCAAACAAACTTTAAAAATTGTTACATATTTTTTTCGAAAAGAGCTTTGGCAGAAATTTGTTAATTTAAATTAAAAACATTTCCCTAAAAATGCCGTTCTGCTTGTGTTCAGTTGCTTTTGAGCTTAACTCCTCAAACCATAGCAAGTAGATCCATTGAATTATTCCAATAAGCATTAGGCTTGAGTCGTATTCAAGTGGAGAACTTGCGTACTTCTCAATGTTTTCGATGTGATTTATGGATAATCAGCGTTCTCAACAAAAAACAATTTATACATTTTAATAATAATGTTTTTCTACTCGAGAAGATTTTTGTTTTCAACTAGTACTAATTACTGAAAAAATTTAGCAAATTAGAATTATTTTGCATATCCACGTCCAGACAAAACAGTATAAATATAAAGTTCTCAAAAGTGGGACAATTTTTTTGTGCTCTACTATGGGATAATTACATATTTTTTTTTAAGAGCTTTCATACCCAATTTAGCTTTCAAACCAGGAGAAGCTTTCATGCCAAGTAAAACTTTCATATGCAACATATTTAAATCAATATCTGCATTTTTTTTTGGAAATG